AGTTCACCGACGGGTAATACTGGATTTTTACGGAGATTTTACGATCCTGTCCGTCAAAATGACGGGCAGCGAAAAAGTCTAGTGCAACCTCTGCCTCACATACCTGTGTTTTTTCTCCTCCTCCTCTGAGCTTGAACTAGAACTCCTTCTCTTATGCTTCTTCTCTTTTTTTCTCTCTTTGTCTTTCTTCTCCTTTTTGTCCTTCTTCCTCTTCTTCTTCTTGTCTTTCTTGTCGAGATTCTGGCGCAGCTGTGAGAGAACCAACCAATCATTTACAAAATATAAAAATACAAACTGAAGTTGTCTTCTGTTAATGAAGTTAGTAGAATCATTACTGGAAGTTGCAGAGGAAGGAACAACTTGTCAGATATGAGTGAGTTTTTTATTTATTAACATTTTGTCAAAGTTAGCATGTTAGAAAAATGTCAAAATATCACAGTAAGAGATCTTAAAATATGTATACATTACAATTTTCTTTTTTTTTTTACCATTTCCTTAATTCTCTTCATCTTCACTGGATTACTCAAGACTTCTCTCTTCTTTTCTTCTTCACGTTTCCTTTAGAAAACCAACAAAACATGATTATATGAAACATTTGCACCTGGTAGCATGTTTTCAGAACAAATGACCAGAGATAAGGGCCCCACTTACCTGATTTCAAACAGGGGGTCTTCCCTGATCTTAGCAGCCAGGTCGAGGTTAGAGGCGGGAGTGGAGGGGTTGAAGATGGAGCCGGGCAGGAGGCCGGTCTCAGCTGACGGGCCGCTCTCGGGCTCCTCGTATTGGTCGGTGATCTGCTTGTCGATGGCACGTCCCATCAGGTACTCGTCTCTGGACACCTGGCCGGCGGGGCCCTGGTACATCCAGTCCAGCCGATCATCCTTCTTCCTGTCATCAGAAAATGAATAATATATTAATCAGAAACTCATTTTCTGAGAACCACAAAATAACTTTCATTACAATATCAGAGAACTCACTTGATGGATCCGGCTGTCTCTGCAAATCTTGTTATTTCTTCTCGGGCTCGTTCATCTTTCAGTTCCTTCTGGAGTTCCTCAATCTTCTTGCACTCGGCCTCATGTTTCTGTTCAGCTTTCCAAACACGTTCAATGTTTTTCATAGTCTGGGGATGCCAGCTCTTTTTCAAGTTCTGGCAGAAGACAAGATGGACAACATTTAGTAGCTCTTACTTTAAAAACGATCATGTACCAGCTTTAGCGTAAACTTGATTTTGTTAATAACATTTTTAACTTTACTCTTTTAACCAAAACTTTCCACATACCCAGTATGTGTATACAAATCTGACGGCTAACATACAATCTACAAAATAACAGTTTCGGGTGTATGCACATCAATTTAATGTGTGCCAGAATATTTCAACGAAAATCTCAACTTTAACAGTTGACACTCACATCTAGCCAGTGGTGTCAAGTAACTGATTACATTTACTCAAGTACTGTAATGATGTACAATTTTGAGAGACTTATACTTTATTTGAGTATTTAAATTGTATGTTACTTTGTACTTCTACCCCACTACAGTTCAGAGGTACATTGTGTTCTTTTACTCCTCTACATTTATTTAATAAATGTAGTTACTTTGCAGATCTGGATGAATGATGTGATCGTCTTAAAATCAGACTTTAGTTCCACCTGGAGTAAATTCACAAGCTACCCTGCAGTATACAAAGTCATTCAAACTAGCTGCACCTTTACCAGCTTTGAGAACACTTTAATGATCAATCATTATAAAACATATCATATATATTATTCTGAAATAGACCAATCTGCACAATGACTACTTTTACTTTTGCTACTTTAAGTATATTTAGATGTTAATACTTTTGTACTTTTACTTCAGTAACATTTTGAATGCAGGACTTTTACATGTTACAGGGTATTTCCACACTCTGGTACTTCAACTTTTACTCAAGTACAAGACCTGAGTACTTCTCCCAGCTCTACATCTAGCTAACGGCCAGCTAGTTGACCTTAAGCTAACGAAAACAAGCCGTTACTTTCAAACTATTAAAATACAGGAATTGTCTAAAACGAAAGTGTGCCGAACTGAGGAAGCGCTTTCCCATTCCCAGTAGACATTAGCTCATGTTGTAAAATATGTATACCGTCTTTTAATGACCATATTGTCAATGGAATTGTGTACTAATGGTCTAATAACAGAAAAGCGGCTTAGATAGCTCATACTTACCAAATCGCCTCCCCCCATCTTGAAAAATGCTTCGTTTCAATCCAACAGTAAAATGAAATAGACAATTCTGTCCCACAAAACTGGAGAAAACAAGTTCAACGCTAGCTAGAAAATGGAGCCACCACGGCTTGTGTGTGATGTGTTTTGTACATTTCCTGTTGTGGATCATTCTCTTTCCGGTTACAGCAAGCGGTGCTTTTACGTACCCGGCATAAACTCCGGGCATTACAGCTCTGGCGTCTTGAATAAACTATTGACGCCATGACATAACGTTCCCTTGAAGTAGTTTTAACCTCCGTTAATATAACGTGTGTAGATGATTTAGCAGCTGTTACTACCACAAGCTGTTACATTGTGGTATTAAACCTATCATTTTTACCATGAATGTATTGAACAGATGGTTTCAGTATGCATCATCCTTATGTTTTAGTGCAACTTTTAATTTCTAACAGCACCTCAAGCCGGCATCTCGACGATGAACACAAGTTACGCAACTCAGAATGAAAATTGCTTAAAAGGAGTAATTCTTACCTAACCTTCTAGTTAATTTTTGTGGGATGTATGAAATATGTGAACATATTCAATATTTCAATAAAAAAAACGTATATCATAAAAAAAAAGCTATTGCCTTTCCCCCAACACAATGCCCCACTTGTGAAATACATTCAGTAATAAACAAGTAAGATAAATGCTTTGATATATCCTCCTGGGACCCAGCCCATTGAAAATGTCCACTGTAGTGGACATTTTGTTTACATGCATCTCCTTTTACTCTTTTGAGCTACTCTATCAATCTCTGATGTACTGTACAGAGGACATCCTGGTCTTTCCAGTGATATGTCATTGGTTAAAATTGCATGCTGGGAAGTTCCTCTTTCTTTTCATCCAAAATGGCTGGCATACCAAAAACAACATTTTATAGAAGCAGGAGGAGAAGTCAAATATTGTTGAATAATTGTAATTTTTACCATGAAAATCATATATGTTCTTGTTTATTAACATGTGAGGAACTATATAATTAGTTCTGAAAGCAATTAAATAATTCAAGTTTTGAAATAACAGCTCTTTTATAAATGTCCATTCTAGTGGACGTCAGGACCGTCTTCATGGACTTAATGACTCAATATTGTTGCAGGAGACGGAACTGAAGCAGACATTTTCTGTACCAGATAGTTAAGGGAGATTCAGATTTGGAGCTCTCGGATGATGAGAGAGATGAGGATTTCACACCTGGGATAGAATAGGGTCAAGAAGAAGGGTGGGAAAGATGCAGGAGGCTCCATGAGCGCACAGATACAGACATAGAGACAGATAGGGACGAGCTGGAAAGACATGGCCCTCTGTGGGCCAAGAGTAGCACGTATGTCTTATTGTTTTTTTTATTTTAAGTGGAGCCATGAAAAATGAGAATTGCCTCAGGAAGGCCAAGTTTGTTTCTATGAGCATGGTCAAATGGAGACCACATCCATAAAACTAGTCAAGATGACCCTACAACCCGTGCCGAGTCGACTGGAGTCAATAAGGTACTTTTCCCACTACATTGACTACAAAGTCTTTGAAGATCTGGAAAGATTCACCAAAAACCAAACTAGTTTTTTAGTGACCAAATAAACAGCAATGTTCAGATCAATTACTTATTTATGTTTTAAATAAAGGTGTATTATTCTTGTATTAATATCACTCTATAACCATAATACGTTACATAGTCTATCTGTTAATTTTGGCCGACTTTTCAAACTAAAATGGTCCCAATGTCCTCTACAGTGGACATTCAAAATTAAATTAAATTAAAAAAGTCTAAATTGTAAGATTTTTTTAACCCTAAATAGGAAATCACAAAAAAAAAAGGAAATTGGAAGACACTTTTTTTCCTCGGGTCCCAGAAGAATATAGTGAATTCAGAGAGTATTCAGACCTCTTCCCTTTCTTACCTCCGTATTTTGTTGCAGCCATCAATTGACACTTAATACACAACAATAATAAAGAGGAAACAGGATTGTATAACTTTTCAAATGTAAAGGTCTCCCATTTCTCTTGATAACCGTTGACATGATTCAACTGAATCATGAGTTTGAAACGTAAAAACCTTTTTATAAATACTTACAGCTCATGGGTCCCCAAGAATAATTGTGTGTGATTCTTACAGTAAATGCTGCACACAGCTTTACAGTATCAATACTTCTTCACTGATCACTTCATTAATTCCCTCCAGCTGAACCAGGGGTGTTGCTTGGATCTAGCAACATTGGGGGCTTAGCCAAGTTTGACAATTGTACTTTCGAAAATATATATGTATATCAATAGAGTATACAAGAATACACAATATGAAATGTAAATAATGAATGAAAACTCTCTGTAATAGACCAATCTACCACCCAAACAGACACACATGGACATAGGTTACTCTATAAAAGTACAAAAGAAGAAAATCAACTATATGGTAGTAAAGCAAGAAGATGTTTTCCGTCATAAGAATTTATTACATTTCGAGAGCATCACACTTTTAATATAGGACTTACTGTAACTGTAAGCCCATATTATCTTATCGAGAAAAGATTAATACAAAATCACTGTCACTGAGGGCCCCTTTTGCACCTGCCCAGGTTGCCCATATGGTAGATCCAGCCCAGACTATAAGTACTTTGACTAAAACTACTTTCATCTTTACTCTTAATAATTCTACTAATAATAATATAATAGTTTTGTATGTTGTCATAATTAATAAAACATTTAACAGCAAATAATAACTGACAGTTAGCACATCTTCCATAAATAAAAGTTCAACATGGACACAGAATATAATTTTTTTTATTTAAAAGACAACAATAGATTAAATACAAGTTATTACACCATGATACTTAACTTATTAAACGTTTTAAAATCTATTTTATTGCAGCCAACTAAAACATTTACTATAGCAACCAATTAAAAAATGTGTCCATCTTGCTCTACTGACCAACATAGAAAAGACTATCAATAACATCAACAAAATATCATATTATTAATAGTCAAAACACAGCAATTGACTAATGTTTAACATGGTCTTCCATTTAGTATATTCTATACATAAATACAGCAATATTGAGCCTCCAATAATGCAAGCCCCTAATATAAAGAAATCTCAGCCTAATGTCTGTGATGGGTTACATACATCCTAATAGTGCTGCTCACACTGCCCGCTACAGAACTAGTGATCAATTCATATAGATTATGAAAGTTAACCTTAACAAATTATTCTGCCTGTTGTTTTCTTGCATTTTGTTTCATTAGCTAGATTGCTAGCAACCTTTTTCTGCATGCTTATCCAGAATCCAATGGGTGTCGTGTTACAAAAATGGATTGTTAAATGAGTTGTGGAACATGGAAAAACTGCAGACACATGAAGAGATCTTAATCTAATGTGTTGAGAGATAAGCCCTTTACAGACTGTTTGTCGATAATTGCGACTATAGCTTGATCCCACATGCAAATAGGTATCGAGCTGATGGTATTTTGAAGAAATGTATCAACCCACATAATGAGGTACACCTGGATCAGTAGGAAATCCTTCTGCCACCTTCCACGACGTCTGAACCTCTTGAGGCATGAATTCACGGTAAGTTCTTTTGGGATTTTCTGTTACACCCTTTGTGACCTGTGAAGCAGTATCTTTTTTTGGCCACTTGGGGGCAGCAGAAAAAACCGTAGATGCAAAATTGACATATTTTTACCGTTTAAAGACGTTGACGTGGATGAGAGCTGTGAGAATACAGTATAGTTTGGAGATGGAAAACCGAACAATACCTCGGTGAAAGACCTGTGTTTCTTTGGATTTGCCCGTTTAAAACAAATGTGATCAGGGACACAAAAGAAAAATGACAATGTAATTTAGTTGAATGGGAACAATGTTTTTCTATGGGCAAGTAATTGAATCTATTGGTTATATAAAAACATTGTTTGGTGCAGCTTTAAATCTTGTGCCTGCACAGGGCACTGTGTGGTAAACTACCCTGCTTAGTGTAACTCAGCAACAGCACTGTTGGCATACCGCCCTGTGGAGTCCAGTTGATGCCAAATATGATCGATTTCTCTCCACGTCCATTTTTTGTGATCATGACGCTAAGCTCTTTGAGTGGGTCTGACTCCTTAACATTTTTTTCTTTTTTGATATCATTGTCACATCTTGTTGTTCTCATCTGGTAACCTGGACCAGTGTTCACATTCTCATCATTAAGTGTTATGCCAGAAGTGGCAACAGAAACACACATTTTTGGTAAATACGCCTTTGTAGTGCATTCAATTCCCATTTTTATATTATATTATATATTCACCAACATTATAGCATGCTGCCATAGTACAGCATTATTGTCTGTTGTACTTTAGTAAAAGTACCATTTAATCACTTACATACCAACATCCACACACACAGTTCTGTCGCATGAACTTTCACCATCCAAATGGCAACTGACCGTTTAAAAACGACATGCTGTATTATGTTCCAGTGGCTTATCACAACTTGCGCAGAAGGATACACACCACTTAAACAAAAAACTGTCTCTTTTCTCCGTTCAAAAGCATGCTACCTTTGACATTAGTGTATTAAACTGTGTTGGAGACAAACATTTCTCCAACACCTCCAGCAATACATTTGATTAATTTCATTGTAAACAAGTTGCTACCTTCAGTTAATCTTTGGTCTACTGGTAGCAGAAGCTCTAGCAGCAACAGAAGTCCAGCAACAAGCTGCAGCTTCAGCTTGATCGCCTCCTTAGCCACCTTTCACTTGAATCCACAGAATCAGTCAATTATACTATGAATAAATTACAGTTTTTCTGTGTGCTAAAACATTTATACTATCAGAGTTTGCCTAGTTGATAGATACACAAGAAACACTTTCTCTCCCATCAGACTTCCATCAGTGAAAGTTTGTCCAAACCTTTTTTCTACTTTCTATTCTATTGTAAAACCAAGACAACTCTATGATAAAGAGGGAAAAAAATGTTAACCCTTAACTGCAAAAAATGCCTCAGAAAGTGATGAAATTACCCAGACTGCCCTGTCACGCTGGAGACTGAGGGGTCCGTCTCACATTTCAGCTTCAGTGGTGGCTCTGTGTTGTCGGACACGTTTGAGGAAGACTGAGGAGGGGTGGGTGTATCGAAGCCTTTATCCATCCTCCCGTCTCCATTCACCCTCTCCTCCCCGTGTCCTGGCGGGGACTCGTGTGTGCGCATGTGTTTGGCCAGGTGGTCATTGCGCATGAACACTCTGGGGCATAATGCGCAGCTGAACTTCTTAGCACCGGTGTGCGTCTGAAGGTGGCGCTGCAGTTCATCAGAGCGTGTGAATCTCTTGCCGCAGAAGAGCCAGTTGCAGACGAAGGGCCGGTCCCCACTGTGCCATCGCAGGTGAGCCTTCAGATGCGAGGTCTTGGCGTAGGCTTTGCCGCAGCCGGGGATGTGGCAGTTGTGCATGTGCTTCCTCCTGCTGTCATCCGTGCTCTGGCCCAGCTGTTCAGCATGCACGCAGTTAGGGCAGCGACACGCAGTCTGGCCCCCGCCTCTGGAGGAGGAGCGGCGCTGAGGCTTGGGCCGGGCGGAGACAGCGTTCTCCTGCGGTTCCTCCAGGGAGTACGCTTCTTGTTGCAGCATTTCAGGGGCCATTGGCTCCATCTTGAAGCCATCCTGAGAGAAGAGGTGGGATGAGTGCGAGGCTGGAGCGAGTTGAGATGGAGGCAGGTTGCACAGCTGTGGGTCGGATCCGTAGGGCCCTAAAGAGTGCTGCAACCCCATGGAGCTCCCAGGATTTACTGAAGGCAAGCCGACATTCTGCCCCGTCTGCAGGTCAATCCAGCTCCCTGTTTGGACGTCCCTGTGGAGTTCCCACCAGGAGGGGATGTTCATGTCTTCTGAGCTGCCACTTGGGGGTGCTGTCCGCAACCAAGGCTCGTAAGGGTGGGCCATGAGGGAAGCTGGGCAAGGTGCTAGACTGTTGATGGGGTTGGCGGCTCAAAATCTTGTTCACTATATTTTGGATAATGCTTAGAAGATTAGCACATGTTGAGATGGCGGTGTGTCCAAAAACCTGCAGAAAGAAAGAACAGACAAACTGTTATATCTTCAAATCTGGTATCAACTTCTCACTGTGTTGCATTTTCTCAATGGCTTCACTGAACTACATGCAATGACTTCAAAGCCTTGAGGTCATTTTCCCCCACTCTGAAATACTTTGAAATACTCAGCCTTTGCTGATCTAACGTTTCTGAACTTCAGAAGTGCAGACATTCAGGCCTAAATCCTTCTGTCTACAACATTTAAACCCTAAGCACACCTCCTTCATTGCCAAGGATACTGCCGTTCTCACGCTGCGTGGCCGAGGAGGCAGGAGAGAGGGGGAGACAGACGTGTCCAGGCAGAAGCCTGCCACATGCATCCGCTGCCAGGTACTTCCCATGGAGGACAGTCAAAGACAAGCGCAAAGAAAACAACATCATTGGCCCAGTGCAAGGCAAAGGCAGTGAGGGGGGGGGGGGGCAGGGACAAGAGTGAAGGGGAGTGTTGACAGGAGAACAGTTTGGTAAAGGAAGAAGTTCCAGGGAGGTATGGCTGCGGGCCAAAGTCTATTTGTACGTCTCTGAGGTTTGTGGAGATGAAACCTGGCAGACAGGAGAACCTGTTTTTTATGAATCACACATGATTTACAACAGGCCTCCAGGCAAGATACAATAGGAGCCCCGTAAAACGGCCTGCCTCGAACACACTGGCGGCAGAAAGCATCAACAGTTGCAGACTGACGGCATTCAGGAGCCTGAGAATGGGAGGGAAACAATGACATGAGAACAATACTTTATTTACGTAATTATGGGCACACGCTCTAAAACAGCATCCTGTCCCCGACACGCTCCAGGTATGTTCGTTTGTACACGCCACTGCAGCGTCAGTCAGAATGAGGAGGGGCTCTGATTTCAAAGGTGACATAAAACTTGGTAATGTTGGACAAGTCTGTGGAAATTCATGACAAGAAGCTACCGGCCTACAAGACCTGTGCTCGGTTTCAAACATGTCCCTCCCCCAAACAATCTTGTTGACTTCCACCACACCCCCATCCTCCAACATCTACAATTATCTTTACAGCAGGAAACAGTAAAGAAGGCTGAAGCTATGCTGTCTTAATCTTGATCACTTGCTGTGAAACCATATCTGATGGAGCAAGCTGCAAAAGGTTGCCAAAAGACAATAGGTCAACTCCATTGGAAGACATGCATCCTCTCTGATATGTTGATCAGGTGGAGCGTAGACACAGGCGGTGTAACTCTGACTGACAGTGAAGGAACCCCTCAGTAAATCCCAATTTGTTGAGTCAATACAGCCAAACCAAGACCATTACACGGCCTTCTCAAAGGTTCAGTCAAAGCAACTCAGAGATGCTTTCTGGTCGCAATGAAATCGTAAAGCAATTAGTTTGGAATTCCCTAATGAAAGGTCTGGTGTTAAAGGTCAAGCTGATTTATTTCATGCCGGCCTGGAGCCAGAGTCGCTGCTCTGTAATCTTTTGGGAATGTGACTGGGATGCACAGCGGAATGGTCCCCACAACTCCACTCTTACTGACACAACCGTAAACAAACCAAGACACCAGCATCCGCCTCCGCTCGCCAAAGTGCTGGGAGCGCCAGGAGCTCCTGAGGGAAACAGCTGGCATAGAGGGGGCCCCAGGGGGAGGGCAGCCCTTGAGGAGGAGGATGGTACAGAGCAATGACAGAGCTCTGGTCATAAAACCTGCCCGACCAAGACCCAGCACGGCCCCGCTTTATAGGTCTGCCATAGGGAAGAGGCGCAGACAGGGAACAAACTCTTCTCTAGATTTCTTAAAACACTTCAACAAGTGAGGCACATACACATCGCAGCCTAACACTACCTCACAGGATATATTTTACTTTGAATTTCAAGCCACTGTACACTTTCTATGTTAAATAGATTGGTATATAAGATAGTGTTTGGATACGACTCTGAATGTTTTATTTGTATTTTATTCTATTCTTAAAGGTGGGGTAGGTAAGTTTGAGAAACCGGCTTGAGATACACTTTTTGTTATATTCCATGGAATGCTCTTAACATCCCGATAGCAATGAATATATTAAGTGCTTTGACAAAAAATCCATAAAGAAATGTCATCTGTGGAAGCCGTGGTACTGTAAAAAGCACGACCAATCATTTTAGCCGGCCCGGCTAAAATAACTGGATGGCCTACCTGCCTGTCAGCCTTCCATCTGTGCACAGACTTATCTCGTGCCCTCATTGGTCATGTGCGCGTTCGTGTGTGTTGGAGGAGGGGCTCTGTAAGGAAGTGGCAGATTTTTTCCGGCTGTGTATTTTCAAATTCTAGCGCACTCGAGCTGGTTTCTCCAAAATTACCTACCCCACCTTTAAGTCTTTTTGTAATTCTTGTAGATTGTCAATGCTGTGACATAACAATTTCTCAACTTGGGATAAATAAAGTACCTATCGATCTATCTATCTTTTCCTGAGTTTTAATAAACTTCCAGACTTTTTTCTTCTGATTTGAAAGCTAATAATTGGGATTTTCAAGACTGATAATCTGCTCGTTTGAATTTTGAGGCCTTATTTCCAGAATAGTTTCGGGATTACTTTTTTTAATTTATTCTGCCATTCAAAAAATGCCATCCTTTATCATCCCAGACGTAGACTAACAGTTACAAAAGTATCACTGACTGTCTCGGGACGTTCCAAACAAAGCATTTAGGGTCAAGTGGCTTTTACAAGTAGTTTGTTTGAACCTGCTAGAAGAAACAGATAAAGGGAGTGGAGCAGATCAATTCGACCGGGGTCAGGTCAGTTGTCAGAGTGTACCACGATGGAAAAAAAAATGTTGAGCCTGGAAATGCTTGACATCACAACAAAATGTTAAACTTGAAGAACTTGTGTAAAGATCAAAGTCAGCTTGCACAACAGTTATTCAAAACCTGGTGAGTGCAATAGTTAGGGGCCTTTAAACAGAGTTTCTATTAGAACGCTATGCTTGATTTGAAAAGGTAATCTGCACACCTGGGTGGAGGTAAGGTTAGTGAGACACAGAGCTGGAAGTGGAAGGCTGATCTGGTCTAATTGGTTCCAAGATAGCTTAGATATGGATGACAGTTTGACATGTTCAGTGATTTAGAGTGTCTGTGTGACACTATAAATCACTGAACATAATTGCGTAGAATGCATTTTACTGCATCTCACTGAAATATGTACTGCAGTTGTTGGGACATCTTTAAGGAGCCTCTTTGTTTCCTTGTCTCTTTTCTGAGTAAACAAACTGCAAGAGAGAACTGACATTTTCAGAGCCTTCATTTGTAAACCAACATAAATCAAGTACAAGTGTATTTTTGATCAAGTTTGCACCTAATTTCCACTTAAAAATTCAAAAGCGTACAAACACACACTGTCGTGTTTCAACAGGATTTTTTCACAATACTATTTGATGTGCTTGTTTAAGTATTTATGTTTAAATGGAGACAAAGATTAAAAAACAAACACAAAGACAGAATGTTATGTTGAATAAGATGTACAAAATGTGACATAATGTGATATGTACAGTATATACAATGGTTACTAAGAATATTACTTTTTCTGTGCAGTTTTAATGTATATGTACTTACCTTTAGTTTAAAAATGTCCATTTTAATCTGTATTCTATTTTAAACATTATGTGTATTATAATACTTTTCATTGTAGAATAACATTTCACATACAAACATCCAATCGGTTGATAAAAACGTGAACTGTTTTAGGTTAAACTACCCAACATTAGTCAAAATGTGCTTTACCTTGACAAATGACAACCTTTAGAATCCATTTACAGATTGAATTATCAATAATAATAATCCAATACTATGACAATATAACACCGACATCCCATTCTACATATCTGTACTTGAATGTGTTGTCCTCTCATCCCATATAGTTAGTTCTATGATTGAACTCAGTCAAACTTTTAAAATATGACTTGTATTTGACTTTGTGGTATTGCTACTTTCCCTACAGTAAATTATTTGAACTCTTCCACCACTATATATACACATGTCTTATTAAGTCTTGCACTTGGTCAATCGTCACTGTCACGCCATGGAATCGTTTTCAATAAAACCTTTTTCTATACAAAGATAAATAATTCAAACTATTGATTATTAACAATAAATCCCATAAATCGTATCCTGTGCACTTTAAATAATAATTTGAATTCAAAATCTTCACTGGGTCCCTTGGGGTTATTCCTACAGGGAACATATACACATGATATGGCCGTATACTTTACAGTGACAAATGGGAGAAACAATTACATTCAACCAGAATTTAAAATAAACAGCATCAACAAGTCACGGCAAATTTCTAAAAACAGCACCATGGACAGATTTCCTTCCTTTCTTTCAAAATAAATATGAATGTGAGTCCTATAATGTGGTATTTGCTTTAAAGTGAAATATTTTTTAAGATTTTAAGACCGCATAATAATTTGTACGTGAGTAAATGGCACACCAGGCTACATCCCATTGAGCTAACCCTCCACACCTACAGGTCAAGTCAATATAATATTAACTATAATATTAAACCTCGACTTTATATTACTATAATCTACACAAATGAATGTTTTCAACTTTTGTATCAAAATAAATGCTTTGACTTCATTCTTCAAACCCCACAGCCAGCAATCTTAAACTTCAGTTGTAAAAAACAATTGACAATATATTGTTATTTCATATATTTACAGTGGGGTAAGATAAATCAGATATTTTACTTATGTAAAAGTAGAAATACTACAGTGTTAAAATACTTTGTTACAAGTAAAAGTTTTTTTCTTCTTCTTTCAATGACTTTATATATTATTGCTGGATATCTTTAACTGTTATGATATATCATAGTGTATTTATATTTTGTTTTAGCTTAAAATCAGAATCTGTAAAGTAATTTGTAACTCATTTTGTCATAGAGTAAAAAGTACAATATTGGCTTCCAAACTGTAGTGCCCATTGGTGTATAAAGAAGCATAAACTACAAATACTCAAGTAAAGCACTATACCTCATATCGTACTTAAGTACAATACTTGAGTAAATGTACTTCAATACATTAAACCACTGTTTATTTAACTGCAGGTTTCGTGGAAAATATATGTTAATTATATCTCCAAGTCAAACCAAAGCATGGTTAATAAAGCAATGTAATGTTGAGATATATTCATTTATAGTGCAGTAACAGACGCTTATCTCGCAGGGAGAGAGAGGTTACCTGTTAGTGCTGGAGCTGCTGAGTTATTCTGAATAAATGCAGCTCGTGGTCTCAGCTCTGCTTCTTCTTCTTCCCGTCGTCGACAAACGTGCACAGAATAATATCCTCATCATATTTCATCTGATTATCTCCATCGCTGACGGTCGAAGTGAGGCAGTATGATCGTTTTGGCGCACAGGTAAGCAGTATGGTGAGTAGTGAGAAACTTCATGATAGGCTGCGCGTCTTCAGTGCCTCCAGGCCCCGCCCCCCGCTCGGCCCGCTCCCCCCTGGAGATGCGCCCTCCCCGGCTGGAGGTGAGGACACGGCTCGCTTTAAAACCCGGGATCAATGAGACGGTCTTCAGACCTTCAGAAAATATACTTATAGTGAAGTAAAGTCCAGTGGTGTAATGTAACTAAGCACATTTACTCAAGTATACTGTACTTGAGTAAAACATACTTGTACTTTATTTTATTTTTATTTTGTGCTACTTTATACTTTTACTACAGTCTGTTTTTTTAACACATATTGTTCTTTTTACTTCACACATTGACATATTAAGTTACTTGAATATTTAGGTTATTTATACAAAATGTAAATCAACACACATTATTAATGCACTTATAATTTTAATAGAGTAATTAAAATACTTAATATATCTGGTGTTTAAAAGGGCCCTTTTGTATAACGTGTACTTTTACTTTTTGTACTCAAAGTATTTTTTTACACTACTTTTTTACTTTTACATAAGTACAATTTTGAATGCAGTACTTTTACTTACTTATACAAAATAAAGTAATTGAGTACTTTTACACTGCACAAGTACTTCTTCCATTACGTCTAATCCTATAAAAAGATAGCTTAATATTTGTTTTCTGTTTTAATGCAAGTGACATTTTTTAAATTGATATAAGTTTAATTTTGGTCTTTTATTGAAAATGCTTGTCTGAACTAAGAGTAGCCTAGGCGTGTGGTTATATGCAATTTTAAAAAGTCTTACATTCTAGTGTACATGTTTTGACAATTATCAATTTTTACTTTATATTTAGGGTTTTGTGAGCAACATAAACACTTTTTTGTTGTAAGTGCCGTACAAAATAGTTTTGGCTTTAGTATACTGTGGGCAATCATTTTTGTCAATAAACAATAGTACACCTTTTTGCATTTTGTAAGTAGCTCCACACAACTGAGCTAGCTCAATCTGCTAAAACCATGACATTTTGTTGAAAAATTGTGGTTTTCTGTTTTAACAGCGACATGATTATTATTCTTTCACACAAGTTTCATTCCACTCTTTTATTTGTTTAATATATCCAAGACTTTGGGAAGACTGCATTTTCCTTCTTTGCATCAAGGGTATGGAATAATTAATACTAAAATTAAAATTAACAAACATTGATGTCCATTGATGGATTTAATGTCATCATATAAAATGTTGCAATAAAGGCATGTGGTTGTTTGTGTGTTTTATTGTATTGTGATTTTGTATGGACCTTGGCCTGGTCTCTCTTGTAAAATGTGATATATATAATAGCATATTATATATAATCTCAGAGGTAGAGAGCATAATGCATACGTTACATACATATAGACATATATTTAAGAAAATGTTTCTACGTTTTATTTCATTTCATTTATTACAATAGTTGTCATTGGGCTGCAGTAGTTCAGTTAGTAGAGCTGGACGCCCATTGGTGTTAGGTCTCCATATGGTGGACCCAGGTTCGAATCCAGCCTGGGACCTTTTGCCGCATGTCTTCCCCTCTTTCTCCCCTTTCAACACTATCACTTAAATAAAAATGCAAAATAAAATAAAATGATTGACTTTATTATTAAAGCTATAGCTAATACCTTAAATAAACACAAACTCTAAAGATGTGATACATCTTATTCTCATGAGACACTGTTAGCTACAGCAGTGATGTTGCAAATCAACTTTTCTTTACTGTAGCATCGGTGCAGTAACCTGCCCAGTGAAGTGCAGTCTGTGGATCAGGGAGTTAAGACCTGGAAATCCTTTGATTGAGGACACTCCTGAGGTGGTTTGGCTCGGGCCAAAACACACAAATCTGGAGTTCTTACTCTGCAGAAAACAGGGTACCAGTTATTGAGCGACCTGAACCATTCAGAGGAACAGCATCTCACATTAGAAAAAAAAAAGTGTTTTACGTGACAATTGAACTGCTACAAATGGCTTCTAGTACAAGTGCCAAATAAATATAGTTCCCAGCTTGTAATCCTCGGTATATGTCAGAGTTCAAGTGACTGCTGTGGCTTTCAATGTGCATCACGCATTTAATAGTTTTTAACATCATCTTCCTTTGAGGGCTTTTTATTTTATTTTGTCTCCTCACTGAGTTAATTCCTTTCCTGTCACAGCATGTTGGGGGTGCAGCTTCAAATCAACTGACAAACACAGACCACAGACAGGCCGGCGGGAGTCACTTCCTCTCTGCTCCTCCGTCTCTGGAACAGCACTTTACAAACACCATGGTGGACACTAACTAAAAGCTCAAGCACTGTATGTATAGGTACAATTTTGAGGAACTTTACTTAAGTATTTCCATGTTCTGTTACTTTAAACTTATACTCTGCTACATCTTAAAAGAATATTGCAATTTTCTAGTACATTTATCTAAAAACTTTAGTTGCTTCAGTATTCAGTTTATTAATATAACATTTCAAAATAAATGATGATGTAATATTATAGATTTAGCTACCCAGCATATGTATAGTAATTATAATAAGCTTTTTTCTCAAAGTACTGTAGATATTTATGCATCAGTAATACTAACACAGTAATTAAACATATATTATTGTAAAATGAACCATTTTGCATATTGAGTATTTGTTTTTGATATTTGAAGTGCAATTTCTTTTTAGATTTATACTTAAGAATGATAAGGTGAGTAAAACATACATAACTTGTGTTACGATGTTTACCTTATTAAAAGATCAAAAATACTTTTTCCACCACTGGAAAGTTTTAATTTTAAATATGTCGCTGGTGCTTGTCAGACTGACATTGGTATAATAATGTCTCATATCTTTCAGCATATTTCACTTGTAGGAAGATCAGGCCACTGAATTGAAGACCACACACCACGACTAAATGGTGTTTACACACATCTTTAAATAGTCAAGCATATTTCCTCGTGAATACAATGTAGCACAATCAGAAAGAGACTTAATAACATTTAATTACAGTGCAAATCCGTGTAGGGGCTTACAAATTCTCCTAATGATTTAGATGTGTTTAGATAGCTCGTTTTTTTGTATGTCTGTCACTGCTCACATCTTTTTCTGTATAAGAGTTTATGCTGTGTACATGAAAATGTTTGTGGTTCTTTAAACTTGCTTGCAAGGAGGCTTTTCCTGAAGTACTGGCATTTACTCTTGTCATCAATCCAGCAAAACTCCCTTTGAATGTCAATGTGGTAAAGTAGCATCTATTTATATGACTGCAGCACTGCTGACCTCCATGTGCTGCTTTCTTATGACAAACCCTTCCACCTACACATGTTACATCTCGCCAATCATACAAGAAAGCAAACACAAAGTCAATGTTTGACTTAAATATGTTTTGGAACTAAGAGTAACAGGGCGTGTGGCTATAGATGCAGTTTGGAAAATCCAGATTGCTACTTTCTTTTTGGGCCTCTGTGAGCTGCTGCTGCCCAATCCAAGCGCTTATCTTATGCTGTCTCCACTTCACGACTTCTTCCTTGAGTTGCGAAGTAGCTGTGCTAGCTAGCTAAATTATACTTTTGTCCTAAAGAAGAGGCTTTGGTATCTTCTGAAGTAAGTTGAAAACCAAGCTAGCTGTTTCCCCATGCATGTGCCTGTCTCCTGGTGGTAGCTTTAATTTACAGACATATTGTCGCGTTTCCACTACACGGCCTCGCTCGGCCCCGCTCGGTATGGCTGGGCCTCGTTAGGACTGGCTCACTTTATGGCGCATTTCCATTACAGTTTAGGAACTGGGGCAGTATCTATAGTAACGCAGTGTAGGCGGAGCCGTGACGTGATCTTCAGAGGACCCCAGAAAAACAACACAGCCGTTAGCTGTCAGCACTCAGAGCTCACAGCTCCTCATATATGTTCAGAAACTAGACAAAAGTTAAACAAGTACAAACCACAGACTGCCTGTGTCATGGTGAATACAGTCGCTGCTTTATTTATGTCTGTATAGGCCGTTGTTGTGAGTGTGGACGGTTGGAGCATATACTGCGTTAGCTTAGCCAATCTCCATTTAGAAAACAAGCATTTTAAAAGGTTTTTCGCCTGCCGTCTGTCTGCAGACTTGACAAAGCATTAATTCATGGTTTTTACTAACCGGTATCAGTATGTTGTTACTTCGGCATCATTTTGAAACGTGTATTACAATTAAATCACGGTCAAATATGTCCATCTTGTTGTAGTTGTTGCCCCCTTGCCAGCGACGCTCTCTCTAGTTTAGCATACTCAGCCCGACTCAGCCTCGTTGTCTCTGGCCCTGGACCCACGATTTTATGAGGCCAGAAAAACTGTGAATTAGGACCCGCCGGCCGGTACTAGGCCAAGTGGAAACGCAACCAAAGACGGGCCGCTGACGTCACAGCCCTCTTAAACCGGGCTGCGGGCTGTAGTGGAAACGCGCCATAAGAGTGCTATCAATCTTTAGGAATAAAGCACATAAGAGTCTTTCTATACAAATCAAACAATTAATGTAATGGCTATAAAGAACCAGCCATTCAAATAATTGTTTTATTACTGGAACTATTCTCCAATGGATTACACACCCTAGACACACTCTATTATTGCTTGTAAGTATGTATTGTATTTGTAATTGCAGTAATTAGTCAGGAACACGTTTTTGGAGCCTTTGCTTGGTTCCCCTGAAGGTTAAAATAGTTTACGTGACACATCATTCGTAATTCTTAAGCTTTCCGTTTGTGTGTGATTGTATTTCTCTGAGTACAATGTGTTCCCTTAAAGGACATGTGCTTTGTATACAATATTCCCACCCTAAAAAATTGGTTCTGATTCTGATTCACTGGCTTGTGGCTGGTTTGACTCGTCTCTAGTCCCACGGGAACCACGCTGCTGTCCCAGACAAATCCTCCTGCCAACACGCCAGCCTCCAGAGAGCTAGGCCAGCTTAAGCCCTACTTCCCCTCCAGAGGCAAAAAAAATCCAAACAAAGTAAACAGTAAGC